ATAATAAAATTATTTATTAAAAATTATAATATAATAAAATTATTTTTAAAATTTATAAATATAGTATATAGTATTTAAAATTTTTAAAAAAAATTTCAAAATTTTTAATATACAGTATATTAGTAAAATACAAATTAAAAATGTTTCAGCAAAATATTCAAAATTGTTCTGTTTGTTTAGAAGAAATTACAAAAATTAGAAATATTACAGATGATCTTAAATTTAAAATTAATAATTGTCCTGATAGAGATTATTATAATCATCTTACATATGAAAATGACAAATTATGTTCTAATTGTTATATGAAAATTATAAATTCTTATCATCGACAAAAATCTATGATTAATGAAACAAATAAATTAGATAATTTAATAGAAATTAGTAAATCTACTACACCAACAAATTTAATCAAAAATACTACAAGTTTAATAGAAATTAGTAGTGAATCTAATATTTCAACAAATTTAATGGAAATTAATAATTTAATAGAAATTAGTGAATCTAATACTTCAACAAATTTAATGGAAATTAATAATTTAGTAGAAAATACTTCAACAAATTTAATAGAAATTAATAATTTAATGGAAATTTGTGAATCTAATACTTCAACAAATTTAATAGAAATTAATAATTTGATAGAAACTTGTGAATCTAATACTTCAACTAATTTAATAGAATTAATTGAGATTCAAAAAAAAGAATTAATTGAAAATACTGAAAATTTAAACAAAATTAATCAACAATTTAATAATATTAAAATTAATATTACTGATAAGATAGTTTTAATTGATAAAGAAAACTTTGATCAATTAATCAAATTAATTATTCAAAAAGATTTAAAAATTGAAACCTTAACTAATCAAAATAATAATAATTTAACAACTATTAATATAGATAATTCTGGTAATTATTATATTTTAATATTTAAATTTAATTTTAATAAATTTAATACTAACTTATATTTTTTATAAGCTCAAAAATATCCATTTTCTCAACAAATAGAATTATTAACAACTATTTTATTAAAATATCAAAAAGAAAATAATGAATATATATTAGATCCTAAACAATTTCAGCAAATAATTGAATTAAAAGAGCCAAAATTAAAAGGATTTTTTGAAGAAATGATGAATGCATTAATTCCAACAAAAAGACTTATTAAAAATAGAGAAAAAGCAAAAAAACAAGTAGTTGCATATTGTTATCTTTTAGTTGGAATAAGAAATAAGTTTGCAAATAATTTTAAATTAGATCTTGCACTTTTTTTACAATCTTCAGGAATGTCTAATTCAGGAATTAATACTTTATCAAATATTGGTCTTAGTGTTCATTCAAAAACTCTTCAAAGATATAAAAAAGATATAGCAAATGCTCATTTATCTAAACTTAATGAATATTTTAATTTAAATGTAAGTTTTTTTTAATTTAATATAATATATTTTATTAATAAATTTTATTAATTAATTAATTTATTTATTTTTAGTCTAATATTTTTCATTGCTTTAATATTGATGATTTTCATGATATTCATGGAATACGTCGACCAGATACTACAACACTTTCTACTGTAAATCATATGGCAACATGTGTATCAAAACCAATTTCTAAAACATCTCCTGTTTTAGCAAATATATATAATTTAGAACATTCTAATTGTTCTTTTTTTAATCCAGAAAATATTGAATGGCTTCCTATTAGACAATATTTAATAACTAAAATTAAAGGAGCTTTTGATATAAGTTATAATACACAAAAATTAAATTGGATAGAAAATATTCAATTTGAAAATCAAGATCAAATTGAATTACTTACATTACATATGTATGATGATGCAATTGCTGAACGCAAAGAAGAAAGATCAATGAAAAATATTAAAATAATTAATGCAAAAAAACAAAATTTACATTCTATAGAAGATTATTTAAATGCACTAAAAATGATTACTTCAATAGAATCATTTCAACCATATCTTCAAAATAATGTAATACCTATAATTGCTGATTGGCCAGGACA